CCACTGTGTTTTTAAACCGACAATTTCAAAAAAAGGTGTAGAGTGGTGTAAATGGTGTAAAACAAATGGTTTTTTTATTTTCTGTTTCAGTGAAAAGATTTCCCTTAAACTCTTGTAAAAACGAGCTTTTAAACAGTAGTAATATGTATTTGGGGTGATTGTTCGTATCCTAATATGAATTAAATATAAAGCTATATCCTAATATAAATTTTTATACATCATACGCTTAACTTTCTTTATCAATCTAATACAAGCGTCTTTAAAAATTGATTGGAGTTTATCTTGCAAGGGATAAATTATAATATCAATTTGGTCAGCTCTCCTCTTTTAAAAACTTTTTTAAGAAAGGAGGGCTGACCAAATTCTCTCTTATAATGTGTTCTAAAAGTATGTTACTTGTGTGGTAGATGTGTACAAGTATCGATACTCAGTATAAAGGTGCCTGATGTAGAACATCTCAGACCCTGTCAGATTCATGATCAATCTCATCTGAAAAAATCAAAAAAATTTTTATATTGTAAAGACATTTTAGCATTATATAAACTTTATGAGTTCATTTAAATGTGTTTTCAAAACCTTTTAATTTTGTCTGAGAATTTTTAACAGGTTTTGAATGTAAATCTGTAGTAGACAAAATCTCTTTTATATAATTCAAGTTTCATCAATAAAATTCATGGTGTTTAGAAAGGGTGACTATGTAAAATTTACAACACCCTCATTTTGAGTGGGTTGCATTATATTGTCATTACTTTTAAACACACACAAAAATTTTGAATAAAGTTTTTTCAATCAACTTTGATTTACTTTAAGATGGCGTAATCTTTTTTTATCAAAAAAATCTTTTTAGATAGGTTTCAATAGTTAATAAAATTATGCACAACAAAATCGCAAATCCATTATCCATAGTTAAGGGCGGACCCAGGATTTTTTTGTATTTGAGTTATATAACTTCCAGGTAATTTCTAAACTCCAAATTTTTGTATTTTCATACTTTAAGTCATTAAGGATGATTTGCAAAAATTGCGCTAATCAGAGCCTGGGAACAAAAAACCCTAAAATCACCCGTCCAAATGTGGGGAAACTAAATTTTCTAAATACAAATTCTAATATCCTAAATTAGGTGGTGATATCGTTAAGGTTCTAATTTTTTTTTTGAAAAATATTATGTTGTAAAAAAATTATACCCAGTTTAAATTTACAAACCTCTCGTTTTGAGGGGGCTCTAAACTTTAAATGGCTATAACTTATGAACGCAAGATGATTTTTTGATTAAACTTTAAATACAGATACACATTTGAATTTTATTAAAAGAAATAACTTTTTTTTTCGAAAAATCATTTCTCCTCTCATTTGGGCGGGTGATGCCTACTATTTAGGATTTTTTTGTTCCCAGCTTATTTTTTATTTGCACTTGAGGTCAATCGGTATATTTAAATTACTACAGTAAAATAATATACCAATATAAATTTTTAAATTTTAACAAAATAATATTTGGTAACAAAATTTTACGTTATTTTAACAAAGGTACTTCAATCATTTGCCTCTTGACTCCGATTGAGAAAAATTTTGAAAAAAACAACTTCGTTCTAAAGTAGGTCGAAATTCATTGAAAAAAAATAGGTTTGCAATATTTTTTTCATTTCGTGTTTAAGCAGCCCCATCAAATTAAGGGTCATTGAAACTTTACACGTTAACCGTTTCTTAACTAAAAGAGATTTTTTGATAATGTTTGCACTTTGTCAAAAAGTTTTAATCTAATTAAAGAATTTGTATATTTTTTTTGACGGAGTCAAGAGAAAAAAATGTTTGGATAATTCTAACACACAAGTTCTGATTGCCGTAATCTTTTGTAAAACATCCTCATTTGACGTTGTCATGAACATGTAAAAGTTTTATGTTTTTACCATACTTGGAAGTCCACCTGTTAAAAAGCAAAAATCTTACTTGGTCTAGATTAAAAGGCTTTAAAGACACCTCTAATTTTACTCATAAGGTCATATAATGCTTCCATAAAAAGAATATTTTCGGTCCTTTTAGATCGAATTTCGGTAGAAAATTTGATGAAAAATAATTATGGTTGAAATTTTTATCATTTGGTTCTTCGTAACATTTATCCTTGAAATTTTAAAAGAATGATTCAACATGACATTTCAAAGTTCTTTGTTTAAAGCCTTTTTTGAGTAAAATCCAATGATTAAAAATATCCAATAGTAAAATTTAAAGGAGTGCGATATCTGAACTCCAGAAATTTGTAAACACTAGGTTCATACCAGTTACAGAGTGAAACAATTAAGTCTGTGTATGCAGTAGTTAATGTGTATGCAGTAGTTTTGAAATATTTCAGGGTTAATATCATAGCAAGAACATATCGCGACGTTAGAATTATCTTCTTTTATCTTTGCTTTCTGAAAAAACGGAGTTATTGATAGTGATATATACCTCAGAGCAGGGTTGGCTGATTTAAATCACATCGATTTAAATCAGTGATTTAAATCAAGATTTAAATCAAAAGATTTTTTTGGATGACTAATGATTTAAATCAAGTTTTTCTTTTATGTTTGATTTTTGAATAATAAAAATTTATTTAAAAACTATTTTTGTCATATTTAAAAAAAAAACTAATTAAATGTAACAGAACTATGTATTTATAGAAATAATGACTCAAAGTATACAATAAAAATAAATAAAAAAGGTAATGCTACAGTGCACAAAACAAATTAATAAACATAATTATCAATTAAAACTAAAAAAATTTTATCCTGTGTGCAGTATTAAAATTAATCATCAACATCAAATTGAATAATTTTCTGCTGATTAATTGCCTTGAATAGAAACACAAGCTTAGCAGCTTTTTCTGTACCCAATCTATTTCTCAGTTTTGAATGTACCAAGCCGTAAGAGGAGAACACACGTTCAACTCCTGCAGGTGAAGCTACCGCAGTCATCAATTGCAAAATTGTATTTAATGTTTTACTTTCAATGTTATCGCGGTATGATCTCCACCACTGAACAGACGATAATTCTGTTAAAACCTCTAATCTAAATTCAAATTCCAGGAATGGGTATGACTTTCCTCTAAATTTCATAACTGTAGGAATAATATGTGGGTATTGTAGATTGGCATATTTATTATGGCATTATTATTTTCGTGACAACATTTATTTAAGTGTACTTTCATTCTTGCCACCAGACCCTGCAGTTCTTTTTTGCATATCCTACATCTTGCTTTACATCCCTTCCCACTTTTTGTTTTGTATGTTTTAAATATTTTTGTTTCTGCAAAAATATAGCTAGAGTTTTAAACCATTTAAGAGTAATATTTTTTTGACAAACAGTCAATATTAAATTATAACAACAATATTTAAGAAAAAACTTAATACTATCTAAACTTAATATAATAAATATCCAGAAAATCTTTATACAATCGCATAGTGTGGATAGTTTTGTGGAGGTATAAGGTTAAAAGAAATGATTTTAGAATCCTGAGTATACTTTTGACCTGTTTGACCACTGCATTATGTACAAAAAAAACACAGTCAACCAATTTCATATTACTTTAAATTATATTAAAAGTTAATCAAAAAATATTTTATTTAAATCAAAAAAATCTGATTTTTTTGATTTTTTTAAAAAAATCGTGATTTTTTCCAACCCTGCCTCAGAGTAATTTTTTAAAACCTAAGTTTTAAGTAAAAAAGTTGCTAAGAAAACATAAATTATAAAAATGTTTTTATATGCCGTCTACTAAAGTTTTTATTTCTTAAATCGTTTTAATTACAATTTAAAATACAATTAAAGGTTATGACTATCAGTATTTCTAACATCCTGTATAATATACGCATAACTTTTTCAACAATCTGTTATATTTCAAATGCGAACTGAACATGGCGCAATTTTGCGCAACATTTTTTTATATTGCTTTTGATGAGTGTTTAAATTGAAAAACTAAGTTAAAAACACTAAGGGATCATGTGGAATTTTTTTATACTTGACTTTATAAGAAGTTAATAAAAATAATAAGTTTAATAATATCTTTTATTTATGGTTATATAAATAAAATAATTTTTTTTTTGCATAGTTCTATAAATTTTTTTTTTAGAGATTTAGAGAAAATATATATTTTTTGGTCTTAACATATAGCTGCCATTGGGGGTCGTCCACTTAACACTTAATGTGTTTGAAACATATTAACACATAAAAACAAATGTGTTTTAAAATAATAGTGACATTTTAAAGCATTAGTGAATAGAAAACATTAGGGATAAGCAGAAAAGCATTAGTGACCAGAAAACATTAGTGATAAGCAGAAAAGCTTTATCACAACTATATAATTTAAAGATAAAGAGATAATTACTCCTTGATGAAAAATATCGCGGTTTCCATAAATTGATTAATTTTTTTATCATACTAAAAAACAAAAAACTCAGACATTTATTTTTAAAAATTCTGTATAAAATTAACATAAAAGGATTTAAAATAAATATTTTAACATTTAAGCTTCAGTATAAATCAATATATGTATATCAAAATGTATAAATACAATATATATACAGTATATATATATATATATATATATATATATATATATATATATATATATATATATATATATATATATATATATATATATATATATATATATATATATATATATATATATATATATACAGTATATATATATATATATATATATATATATATATACAGTATATATATATATATATATATATATATATATATATATATATATATATATATATATATATATATGTATATATGTATATATATATATATATATATATATATATATATATATATATATATATATATATATATATATATATATATATATATATATATATATATATATATATATATATATATATATATATATATATAGAACCACCACAAATTTTATAAACAAAAATACACTAAGATTTGAGTGTAATCAACAGAACAAGTTAAAGAGGAAATCATCACCAATAAAAATATCCACAATAAAAAGCAGAATAAAACTATTTCCTAAAACATTATACGTTCTCTACTTTATCCACAACTTTTCAGGTAGAGACCTTCTGTGAGTTGGAGTATATATATTTTCTTTAACAATTTCATTTCTTTTCATATCATCTGAATGCGAGGTTTTCAAAGGAGAATAAAAAACGTTTATTCCCTCTCCTTTAGTTTTTGTTGCATTTCTTAACAAACTCATTGATGTATTTAAAAAGTCTTTCATAGAACTTTTTTCTTCCATAGAAAAACTTTTGGGTTCAACATAAGCGTAAAGATTGTCAATTGACTTTGAAGAACGCAAACTTACAGACTCTTTATCTACCGACTGTTTTGTATTGATAACCGGTGAAAAAGAAAATGTTCTTGTCGAATCAGACGACGGTACTCGTCTCCCAACATTACCAGAAGAAAAACTTGAATAAACACCAACATTTCTTTGAAACAAGTTGTCCTCATTTGAAGCTGCAATAAGTTCTTTCTTAAAACTCAATCCAGCTAAATCGGATAAATTGATTTTCATGAAAGTCTGCGTTACAGTGGAAACTGTTTTCTTTTTAGGAAGAGTTGTATTTATTGTCGAAGAAGTAAAATAAATATCGTTCTACAAAATAAAAATTTATTATAAAACTTATGCTTAAAAGTAAGGAGAATAAAAAATCAATAACAACAAATCAAGGAATAAAAATACCTTGGCTGTAATAAGCATGAGATCCGGTACACAAAGTGTATGCACTAAACTTCCATTCACCATTAAACGAATTTCAATTGAGTTATCTGAGAATCCCAACAAAAATGGGAAAGCGCAGACTAGATTAAAAATTAAATAGTATTTTAATATATTACAATAAATTATAAATTAAACCTATTGTTACCAATTCAAATTACCTATATTTTTGGGTGCATTATTCCAATAAAAACTTGTTATCTCTGGGAGTATATCATAAACTCGAACAAAAACTGATGAGTCTAAATAAAATCTAGTAGTTTATAAAGTCTCGTATTTATAAATTATACTAAAAATTTGTTTAAAGTACTTCTTAAAGATGCTATTTAAAGAAACTTTTTAGATTTAAAAAGTTTTTTTAAATAGCATAAAATCGTAAAAATTTATACAAAAACAAAAAAGATTTTGTCAACTTTTCCACTTCAAAGTTACACTGCTTTAAAAAAAATTAATAAATCAATAAAAAGCGTTTTACTTACGACTGTACGTGAGAAGTAACTCTGGGTTATCTTCATCAAACACATCTAATGCTGATACGATCTTAGGTTTCTGAAATTGATTTTTTTTTACATTAAAGGTTATAAAAAAAAAATAATAATAATAATAAACTTTTTGAATAAAAGTGAAACATTTAAAACTATATAATAATTACTGAAATACTGAAATTATGTTTTAGATGTTTTTCAGATGTTTTTGTGGATTTTAGTGTCTTCTCAATAAATCTTTCGATGCAATAGCTCTGGCTCCAATTTTTTTGTAAAAAACCTTGGAGCCAGAAACCAAAAACTTAGCTGTGAGTTATTTAATGTATATTAAAGTTTACAAAACTGTTAAATACTATTCAGTACGACATTTTATTTGTAACAAAAATTTACATACCATGTAATGTTGGTTTGGCAGCTACTTTAAATGTATATAGAAAAAAAGGGATACCACCATAAACGAAACACCATTATCACATGCCTCTCCTCTCGTCAATTTTAAATATATTTTAAACCATATTTTATATACATATTTACAATATGTTCTATTGCATTTTTCTAACTGATACTTTTGTCTGGTCGTTTAAACTATCCACAAGTCAGTAATTTAAGACTCATAAATTACTGACTTGTGGATAGGTTACTTATCTAAATAGTTTTATCTCTATTTTGTCATAGCTACTATTTGATTCTACAATTCCAGAATTAAAACTGGAGCTGCAATTAAAAACTTTGATGTCAAAGAACCAGGCAATAGCTAATAGCTATAGCCCTAATCTAAATACTTTTATATCAACTCACAAGCTTTGGTATCAAGTAGGATTGACTGAGGCACTTTGACCATATAAACAAGTTGGTAGTATTTCAATTCTTTTTTCAACAAATTGTGAATTTTTAAAGATTTTATTATGAGCCGAAGTAAATTTTAAACAGTTTGTTTGATGTGTTTTATACTCACTGGTGCTTGACTGCAATACGAAAGTACCAAGTTTAAAGCTTATTGTTTAAGAATTATTTTATAATACTACATATTTGCAATTGATGGTTAAGAACAAAATTATTTTCACTCTAAACATGAAGATGGGGCAGGTAAGCCCAATGCAAACAAGGGACCTTGGTCATAAATGAAAACCTAACTTTAAAAAATTTCATTATATTCTCTATTATTCTATTCTATTCTATTCTGAATTCCCTATTATTCTATTCTATTCTGAATTCTCTATTATTTTATTCTATTCTGAAAAAAGTAAAATAATGTAAAAAAAATAAATTAGTTAAAAGTTATATATACACCATTTTATACCTATGGGACATCTTACCCAATAACAAATTAAGTTGGCCCAGGCGACATGACCTAACAAAAACTAATAACTATAAATGTATCAAAAGAAAAATATGAATTTTTGTTATTTTCAAATAAACCTTTTCAAACATGATTTTTCTTATTTTAACACATCAAAGAAAAAAATTTAAGCCAATGAGTCCAGGTCTATCCTACAGTAAAAAATTTGAGCCTATGTGACCAGGTCTATCCTACAGTAAAATATTTAAGCCAATGTGACCAGGTCTATCCTATACAGGTCTATACAGTAAAAAATTTAAATAAAAAAAATCAACAACAAAACTATCATTAAATATTTTCTTACCCTGTACATAATAATATTCTTTATAACTGAAACTTTCTCTGTTTTTACATTTATAACATCGAAACGAAAACGAAGACCCAAACAAAGAATGAGATCTTTGTTTATATCTGTAGTTATTGTAATAGTTCTTGGAGGTTCACTCACAATTAAATTCTACATAAAAAAACTCATAATTAAACTCTATTAAATTCTACTTAAAAAAAACTCAATTAAATTCAATATAAAAATAACTCACTATTAAATTCTACTTAAAAAAAATAAGGAAACAGACATCTACAAAAATATAAGCAAAACAGTATACTAATTAAACACCTAAATTTTATAAAAATTTATGTGGTTTTAATGCAAATAAAAACATTGTTGAACCAATCATATATCCAATGATTAACTTTAATTTTTAGCCTCTGATGAAATAAAGGCTAAAAATTTGATAACATAAAATATTTGATAACAAACATATTTGATAACATAAAAATATTTGATAACATAAAATATTTGATAACACAAAATATTTGATAACATAAACATACTTGATAACATAAAAATAAAAACAAAAAACTATAAACATTTATATTTTTGTAATTGTAACTAATTTAAAAATTTGTTAATTAAAAAGAATATGATCAAAACTGTTATTACTGTTCTGTAGCAATTATTATTGTTACAGCGGCATTTATTATGGTTATTATTAACGTTAATGCAACAATTTTTTTATCATTATTGTCACTGCAGCAATTATTATTGTTATTATTATAGATGCTAAAAATATTATTGCTACAGTGGCAATATTTTGTTTATAAAAAAGTAAAATCACCCTCTCGACTTCAAACCCAGCAGGTGGTTGAGAACCACTTCGATTAATTTGTGAAGCATACCAAACCGTAGATTCATTCCATTGAAGAAGTGAGATACGCCTTCCAACAGCAAATGCCAAACATATTTTAGGTGATACTTGAGAAGATAATGTATACACATGTGACCCTTTAAATTGTGATACAATGGAGAACAAATAGATAATGCATTATTATAATTAACACATAAAAAATACTATATATTACTACAATTAACAAATAAAACAATACAGAAGCCAAAATAAAATACAGAATATAAATATGATACAATACCAAAATAATAACATGTGCTTTAACATCAAAAATTATTTAATTTCTAGTTGATAAAATACAGCAAAGCAATCATTTATATTTAGTAATTGGTGTGTTATAATTTATATTGGTATTTAGAAAATATTGTCTTGAACACTATACAAGTTTGATATTAAAACTTTTGTCTGCTTAACAAGTAATGGTGATTTTGTAATGAAAAAAATGGGCAATAACTACCCTGCTAAATATTAACTTTGTTTTATGCATGCAACAACTTTAACAGTAATGCAGTTTATGACAAAAAAACTGAGTACAAGTAAAAGTTTCCAACCAATCATCATAGAAATAATTTTAAGTAGAGAAACTACATTATGCTGACACATTGAAACAATGTTCAAGATTATCAAGTTATCAAAAATACTTTTATTGTAAAAAAACTTTAAAATTGAAAAAAATAACTTAAAGATGAAAAAAAGTAAAAGACCTTATTGGTTTATAGAGATTTTTATATAATTCAATTTTCTATTTTTTCCTTTTCTGAAATGATTCGCATGCATCACTTATTTTGTTTGATTATTCTTTTACTATTAAACACTAGATTTTTGTTTAAAAAAATTTGACAAAGCCAATTTCGTAAGTAGAATCCCAGAATCCAAGTTCAAATCTTACAGGTTTTATAAATGAACATAAACTTTTAAAAAAATATTTGTTTACATTACTTTACCTAGACTACTTTGGCATTACTTGCAGTATGTGTGTGTGTTGCCAAATAATATATCAAGTTAAATTGTTAATATTGAATTATTTACTAATAATCTGCATTATGGCTCAAGTTTCTTAATAATAGTAATATATCTTAATAACAACATTCAGTAACATTTAAATGAATCATTAGAATCTGAATGTTTGAAATCAAATAAAGTTATTTCTTTTTTTTAGAAAAAAATTACAAGATTTTTTCTAGATCAGCAAATAATTACCCACTCTCTTGGTCAAAGCGTCAAATTTGCACTCACTAATCAAGAATTGCAATGTGTGCGCAATTGCAATTAAAAAAAAAGAAAGTTAAAAACAATAAAATATAAAATCTTGAAAAAGCATGCACTGTAAAAAAAATAATTAAAAATATATAAGTTCTTGGAAAAACTAGAAATACAGAAAAAAAAGGAAAGGAAACTTGACAAAAATACAATACAATGTTAATTTATTAGAACAAAGATACCTTTTGATCGTTTAATATAATATTTTAAACAATGCCTTCTGCATAAAATAAAATACTTTTCCACATGCAATTCAGATAAAGGTATGACATAAATACGACCATCTAAATTTAAGTATATTTATTATAGTTACTGTTGTTTTCTGTTGCATAAAAAGATAAAAAAAAAGTTAAAAAGGAAAAAGACAACAAGGGATATATGTTTAATTTATTTTAGTTCCTAGTTTGTTAACTAAGTTTAGAAACATTTCAAGTTACACAATTTTTTTGTAAGTGCAAATAGATACATGTGTGTCAAACTGATAAAAATCATTCTTTGACATGTTTTCATGAGAAAAGCTTGTGAAAATCTTAAGGCGATGATATCTGACGGGATACACTAGGTATTGGTCCTGAGCCTTTTCAAAACGCTGGTAATAATAAACACGATTATGAGGAGAAGTTTATAACCACCACAACATGAAATATGATTACACAAAAGCAATAATATTTTTTCTTTATCCTTATAACTCCTATCATTTTATATTTATTCATTTTAAATATTGATATATATATATATATACATATATATATATATATATATATATATATATATATATATATATATATATATATATATATATATTTATGTATTTGTATTTACTGTAGATTTATGGTTACTTATGTGTCTTGTTTTGTTTTTATTACATTTCTATTACATGTGTGGTGTTTAAATTATCATTATTATTTTTTACTACATTTTTAAAAAATACTTTATTAAAGTAAGTGTGTGTGTTTGTGTATATATATATATATATATATATATATATATATATATATATATATATATATATATATATATATATACATATATATATACATACATACATACATACATATTATTTTTGCAGAGTTGATGCCGAGCTCAAAAAGATTGAGGTCGGAAAAATATTGCCGACCTTATTTTTCCTAATTCCGATGGTTGATGTGTATATATATATATATATATATATATATATATATATATATATATATATATATATATATATATATATATATATATATATATATATATATATATATATATATATATGACCACACAAACAATTTTTTATTTTGAAAACTTGGCCACAGTTTTTTACATATATATGTAAACATATATAAAAACATGCAAATTATTAATATTAATAATTTGCATGTTTTTATTCAAATAAAACATGCAAGAACGGGGACAGATTTTACAAAAAAACAAACACTTACGGGAAGATTAGCATTATCAGGGACATTTTAATTAAAAGTACCTGTTAATTTTTTGTCTTCGTAAGCAGGATTTTTTTGTAAAAAAATTTACCCATAAGAAACTTTTATAGAGAACGTAAAGTACATACATTGACTGACAAATAGCCTGACTCGCAAGGGAGTGCTGCTACATTGACTGAGGGTTTGGTTTGGCCAGGCATCAAGGTTAGGGTTAGGGTTACGGCAAGGTTTAAATTTAGTTATATTATTGTAATTAATCGTTTTTGTAAATAGATGGAGTTAAAAATGAAATATAATATAAAATAAATAAATGAAAGTAAATAAAATTAATATAAAAAATATATTTTTATAATAAAATAATAAACTTAAATATGTATAAATAAAAATAGAAATAAAATAAAAATAAAAAAAATATATAAGTATGATAAAAATAGTAAAAAAAAAACAGAAAAAAAACAACAACAGAACGGGAACAAAAATAACATGTCCCTGAAAGTCGCCAACAAGGATGCTATATATATATATACATACATATATATATATATATATATATATATATATATATATATATATATATATATATATATATATATACGAGCTCACTTTTTTTTTGGTTTTATAATCCTGTTTGATTGAAATTATTTTAAAAACTATTATACTTTTTCAATAATTTATTAGTACTAATTAATAAGTAATGTTTACTGTTTATTTGACATGTTGTTTCCTTAAAGTTTATTTTGTACGCCTAATTATATATAATTTGATAAAAACTTCTAAATAATTTTAATTTTTTATGTTGGTCAAAAGTTAAGGCTCACTGCTTTATTTTAAAATTTTTAAAGTTATATATTGATGAATTTCTTCAATAATTTTTATTTTATTTTCATCTGCATTTATTATTTCTAATTTTTTTTTTTTGTTTGAAATAGTACTAAAAAAAAACACAAATAAATTAAATAATAAAAAAGTTACAAAATGAGCGAAGAAATACAGCATGAAACTCCAAAATCACGATAAAGAATCTCTTAAAAAACACGTTATGAATCAATTTTTCTTTGAAACCAAGGACTATTTCATCATCAAATAGCAAATGAGTTAAATATCGCTTATTCGATTGTTGCACATATTTTAAAACGTTTTAGTGAAAAAGGTGACATTAGGACCGAGGCCGATCTGGTTGGCCAGCTGTAACAACACAAAGAGATGAACATTTGTTAATTCGTTTAATGAAACATGACTGAAAGTTATCGTCAAACGTTCTCTGCCATAAATTAAAAAATACATCTGGAATAAAAGTGAGTTCAAGAACTGTTAGAAGAATTCTTCATAGAAATAATTATATGTGGCGATCTGCATGCAAGAAGCCAACCTTTCAAAAAAACAGCAAAAAGCAAGGGTTGCCTGGTGCAATCAACATAAAAATTGGCCTGATTGAAAGTGGCAAAATGTTATATTCTCCGATGAAATGAATGTTGAGGTAGATATGCGAAAATGCCGTGTTATGCTACGGTGATCCCCTCAAGAGAGATTTGATTCAAATTGTACATTAAAACGAACTAAGCAAAGTAGTGGCAGTATAGGCATTTGGGCCTGCATGAATTATGCAGGACTTGGATGCTATCGATTATTTGAAGGTCATCTTAATGATAATAGATATATTGAAATTTTAGATAGTAACCTTCTTCCCTTAATTGATATATTTAAAGAAGAAAATAGCAATTTCATATATCAACAAAATGGTGCGTCATGCCATACAGCAAAAATATCCAAACAATGGTTTGTAGACAACCAAATATCAATATAAAAATGTGTTGGCCTGTTAACAGCCTTGACTTGAATTGTATAGAAAATTTATGGTCTTGGTTAGATCATCATCTTGGAAAAATTCAAATTTTAAATGTCAAACAATTAAAAACGGAAATAAGAAAATTGCTTGACAATGTGCCTAAAGAAATAACTCAAAATCTTGTAAACTCAATGCCAAAGAGAGTAAATCAATGCTTACATGAGAAAGGAGGTTCTACAAAATATTAGAATGCTTTTTTTATGGTTTTACGTTTGTAAATTGTTGTTCTTATATATTATTTGGAATATATCCTTAACTTTTGGCCAATTTTTTTTTTGAAAAAAAATGAAACAGGTTGTTTTTTTTTGAAAAAAAAAATAACCTGTTTCATTATTTTCCATTTTTTAGTATTAAGACCATTATGTTTATATTTATTTTTTTGGATTTCCATAATGTATATAAATTTTACTTATAATATTAAAAAACAAAAAATAACTTTTATTTTCAATTAATTTTATTTAAAAATAATTTTTTATAAAAAAAAAGTGAGCTCTAATTTATAGCCAATGGTGTATATATATATATATATATATATATATATATATATATATATATATATATATATATATATATATATATATATATATATATATATATATATATATATATATATATAAAATACATAAATGACTATGACTGAGTATGACTTAAGTCTTGACGTTTTGTATAAGAATGTAATTTTGTGTATTATATTTTAATATGAAAACATCAAACAATACAAACTCTCTGAATACAAATAATTTATTATTAGTAATAATAAATAATAAAGTTATAATAAATAATCTATTATAAACTTTGCTGTATTGTGGTTGCATCATCAGCTCACAAAATTACAAAATTTTGTGAATGTTAAAAAGATTATAAATTAACTGACATTATGCAAAAATATTAAAATGGGAGACCCAAAATTTAGTTTTTACAAACTCCCCATTATCTAGATTAAGTTTTATTATTTTTAGTTAACTAAACTCAGTCGACTATCTTTTTAGTTAACTAAAATTACCCAACTAAATTTCTAGCTAACTAAATTTACCCGACTAACTTTTTAGCTAACTAAAATTAGTCGACTAACTTTTTAGTTAACTAAAAATAGCTGACTAAATTTTTAGTGCAACTAAATTTAGTCAAATAAAGCAAGATTTAGTGCTTGAAAAAAGAAATAATCTTTCGCATAAAAATTTTACACACGAGGAAGCTTTATTAAGGCGATAAATATTATTTTATCGTAATTAAACACTTTACTGATTGTGAATCCTAAAGCCCAGTCGTACTAAACTGTTATTCAAATGAAATGCTTTAAGCAAAATTCAATTATTTTTATTTTTTCCCAGCTCGGAGACAACTGCCTATGAAGTTATTGCAACTGTTTATAAACACCCAATCAGCATGGAATATACCAATAA